AACATCTATACATTTATTTTCTCAGAATTTAGGAAGTCAAATCTCCAAGATTGGGCCTCCCTGGTAGTGCAAGGGATTGAGTGTAAGCACTGTGAAGCTATCCACAGCCTCTATAGGACAAATTCGATCCCCGTCTGGCCAAGGAGCTAACCACATGGCATAGCAAACCTCTCTTGTCTCGCCCACTGCTCCCCTCAGCAGTGTATCTCAGTAGATCCACCTGTTCTGTTCCCTACTCTATCTCTGATGAGTCCTCTCACCCCTTGCACCTCTGGCCTATACCCCAGATCTTGTATGCATACATAAATCTTTAAAAAAAAAAAACCTTTAAATTAAAAAAAAAAAGTCCAAGATCAAGTTTCTGGCTAACTGATTTCTGATGCAAGCTCTCTTCCTGTCCTCATATGGTCTCTCCTCAGTGGGAGTAAAGACACAAAGCAAGCTTCTTATGAGGGTAGGATCCTGTCAGATAAGATCCCCACTGTTAGGATCTCATTTGACCTTAATCATTTCCTTAGAGGCTCCATCTCTGATATAGCCACACAGATCTTCAACAGGAATCTGAAGTTAGGGCCACACACATTCAGCCCATAACAAAACTCAATCTCCCCTCTCCTCTTATCCAAGAAACCAAAAGTCTTACACCAGCCTGCCATGGATTCCTGCCAGAAACCTGCACCTATCTATTTATTTCCTTAACTGATGTCTAGGTAGCTTTAGTTGGGGAAGTCTGTGATCCAGGTAGGAAGAAAAAGAGTCAATGAAAATAAGAAATAACTGTCAGAAGGTAGGACTTTATTAGTGACTCCATAAAAGGAATGAGGAAAAGTCAAAACAGTTTAAGACCCAATTGGCTGGGCCTCCCTGGTGGCGCAAGAGGTTAACTGTCAGCACTATGAAGCTATCCACAGCCACTGCAGCATGAGTTTGATCCCCAGCCAGGGAGCTGGTGAATCCTCTTACCACCACCACCACCACCACCACCCTGCACCTCTGGCCTGTACCCCAGTTCTTGTATACACAAATAAATAAATCTTAAAAAAAAAAAAAAAAAGACCCAATAGGCTGCGGCTCCATCCATCAAGGCAGTTTTATTTCTTGTTATTCTTCCTCAAGTTCCACCATTTTACCCGCTGGGGTAACTTCGTCAAGTGACTTAAATTTCTCTTTACCTCAGTCTCCGCATCTGGAATACGATCTCATAGGGTTCTTGTGTGGGTTAAATGAGAATGCAGGGCCTCCCCGGTGGCGCAGCGGTTGAGCGCTGGGTTGCGAAGCTGCCCGCGGCCTCTGCAACACCGGTTCCATCCCCGGCTGCTCCCCGGCCACCAGAGGAGGGTCCCACATGGCGCGCAGGCCTCTCCTGCCGCCCGCTGCTCCCCTCAGCAGTGTGCTTCGGTCCTTCTGCCTGCTCTGCTCCCCGCTCTGGCTCTGGTGAATTCTCCCACCCTCCCGTGCTTCTGACTGTACCCAGTGCATGTATAAACAAAACAAACAAACAAATAAATAAATAAAAGCATGCCTCTAAAAAAAAAAAATAAAAAAAAATAAATGAGAATGCACATGAAATGCTAGAAGAGGGCCTGGCAGGTAGTAAGTTCCCAGGAAACACTGACAACATATAGTTAATACTTCTTGGTCTCCAGCAATAACCAGACTGCACATCTTCATCCCAGATTCCAAGCCCTTGTCCATGATGTCACTTCCGCCTGGAATGTTCTAGGTACCCCCCACCTATACATGCTTCAACATCCTATTCAGGCCTTACTTTCTCCACAAGACTTTCGCTGACCCAACATACACATTCAACCCATCCTGACTAAATAGCCGTGTTGCTTTGGTAGTTGACAATCTTGTATCTCTATGTGTATTCCAGGGGAGACGCTGTTTTTTAACCTTTTGTGCATTTTCTCGGTGTCTAATACAGTGCTTACTCTGCAGGTGTTCAATAAACTCTGCTTGAAGGAAGAAATGGGGGGAAAGCCTGGATTCTAAGCAATAAAAGGTCACCTTAACTTTTCAGTAGTGGTACTCAACTGGTTTCCCAGATGCAGAGGGGATTTGCCAGGATTACAACGAAACTCTGCACTATCTCAAAACAAGATTTTAAAATTATACTTGTTTTAAAACAAACCCTAGTCTGTCACATAGCACTTTCTGAAGAATGGCACATTTCTGAAATCAAAGTTATAGGGACAGGACCTCCCTGGGGGCATAGGGGCTAATTCAAACCCCCACCAGGGGGCTAACCCACATATGTCACAGCAGACCTCTCCTGTCTCTGCTCACTGCTCCCCTCAGCAGTGTATTTCAGTAGATCTGACTGTTCTGCTCCCCACTCTGTCTCTGCTGAATTCGCTCACTCCTTGTACCTCTGGCCTACACCCAAGTTCTTCTACACACACACACACACACACAAAAAAAAAAAAAGGTTATAGGGACAACACAACTCTCCAAAAGTTTGGGAACAAGTGATAACATTTCTAGTAGCGTGATGAGGCAAAAAGCAGAAAGCAGCAAAGGCAGTGAGAAATGGATGCAGAGTATAGAAAACATTTCCAGATTGCACAGCAGTCACACACATTTCATTAACAATCTGCCAAGGAATATTGTCTCCAGGTCTTTCCTTTCCCTAATCCTCATTGCCTAGTTGGTGGGTGAAAAGTGTTGCAGTTGGAGATGTGTAGCCAAGTGATTGTGCCCTTCTGGCCTGCTTCAAGGAAATGAAATGCTGCTTGAGGGCAAGTGGTGCCTTTTTTTTTTTTTTTTTTTTTTTTTTTTAAAGGCGCTAGGAGGGCCTCTAGGGGACAAAGTTAATAAGGAATGGAAGTCAAAGGTAAGAAGTGAGCCTCAGGCCTGGGAAGTAGGCTACAGGATATAGTTTAAGGGAAACCAGTTAGTTCTTATCTCTAACTATCTCCCTTACCAAGGTGCTAGGAATCAGCACTATTCTGGTTTTATGGCTTAAGGCCTTATTTTCAGCAGAGCTTTACAGTATACACTTTACCTGAAAGGGTCAAAGGAGCCCACCAACAAAGAAGGACTCTTAAGTTTATCTTACTGGGCATCACCTGAAGTGACATGACAGGAGGACATCAAGATCTGATGGAGGGATAAAAAGGCAAGTTTAGAAAGAAAGTAGGGAAAGGTCCACAGCTTTGGAGTGTGTTTTTGAGATCAGGAACTGGGGAGACAGGTGGCAACAAGCTCCTGGCATAGTGTGAGGCAAATGGCTGGGAAAAGGACAATAAAGGTAAAAAACTCAGCCTGCAACCAAATGTTACCTTTATCAAGTACTACCTGGAACCCTAAGAATGCTTTCACCTCCTGAGTCTTAAGAGGGAGGGAGAAGAGGGGAATGCACAGGAACTCTGGACGACTACAGGCTACTATACCTCCAATGTCCAGAAGCCACAGAGCTAAATGAGCCATGAAGAGTGCAAAGGTGCCCTGGTTTGGAAGGGCTTTCCCAAGTGGAGGCAGGTGGGTTCCTCCCAAGCGGAGGCAGGTGGGTTCCTCCCAGCCTGACACCTGTAGCTTAGACCTCACAGCTTAATAAGCTCCACCCACCATCTCTCCACACTGCACAGGCCCAGTCCATCGCCTGCTTGTTGTTTATAGCAGGTCTCTTTCTTATGATCTGAAGGAAACCAATCCTGATGGCCGCCAGAGGGCAGTCAGCATATATGCAGGCAGGGACAGGGCTGCTGCTCCAGCGATGGGTGGACTCTGGGTTGTGCCACCAACTTCCGCCACCCTTATCACCCCTCAGACCCTAGATGGTCCCCTTCCAGAACAGTCCAACTTGCTTGGAGCTTCTGTTCCTAATTCTGCCTAGATTATAGGTGTCCACTGAGTTGGGACCCAAAGGTCCCTGAAACACCAGGTCAGGAAGCAGAACTGTCCAGGAAGGGGTGTGGGTGTGGAGGAGCCAGTAGAAACAACAACCAGAACAGGAGATCTGAAAGGGAGCCTTTGCTTGGAAAGCTAATTTCCTGCCCCCAACTGGCTCCCAATATATTAGGGCTAAAGACACTCCTGCAAGCAGTCCTTACGGATGGGTTTCAGACCTCTGTTCAGGTTCTTTCTCTTGGCAGTCTGTGTGGGGACATCCGTTGTGAATTATAGGGATTCCCGCTGGTCACTGGTTGGTCCAGTTACATCCCGGGGCGGGGGAAGTTAGCCCTATCCAGACCTTGACACCAGGGTAGGATGGGGACTAGGCTGATTCTTGGCCTGGGGAGGGGGCAGGACTGCAGGCTAACATTAAGGGGCTAGAATTCTTTGAGCATTGATATCAACAATGGCCTGATCCCCCCCACTCTGCCCAGCCCCCACGAACAGTGACTGGAATGTGCAGGAGTCTTTCACTCTTTGGACAGCCCTGGTGCCTCTGACAGTCCGTATGCAACCCCGTGGGCAGACTCTTGATCTTTTCTGCATGACAGAAGAGACCAGCCGCCTAGAACAGGGCATGTCTCTTCTGGTCTCTGCTGATGATCCAGTGGAACCCCCCATCTGCAGTGGGAGGAAGAGCAGGAAGACCTGTTGAGGAAGAAGGGAGGAGCCGGAAGTAGGGTATAAACTCCAGGTCAGACCCTTCTCTCCTCCCTTCTGGAGGTGAATCACCCTCTGAATAGAGATATTTTCCAACGAGCTTCTGGAAGCCTTCCCTTTATTAGCTCACCTGTAGGAAAATGTCAGTTGTCAGATTGGCTGATTATCAGACAGTATTAACCCCGCCGTGCCCCAGCTCCTCATCTTGCCAGGCTCGGCAAGCAGATCATTATATTACAATTTATAAATAGAAAATAAAATAATCGGGTAGGACTGAGGCATTGGGGCAGAAGAGACTAAACAGTGCTCGTCAAAGACGCCCATCATCACCCTCACCTACCTGGGACCCAGGATCACCTCTTCTCGGCAGGAGGTTGTCCCTAACCCAGGTGCTCCCTGCATCGCCTCCACATTCCCCCCTCCCCTTCCCTCCCCCCCTCCCCATCAGCATCGTCAGCTGCCCACATCCCCGGATCTCTGCCTGCAGGCCCAGCTTTTCGAGGAGGGGCGGCTGGAGGTTGCCTGGCCTGCAGCGCTCAGCCCAGCAGCTCCTCGGCCAAGCGATAGAGGAACCGGGAGTACCAATGCATGCCCGTGGGCTGGACGGCCCCTCCCGGCAGCAGCGCCCCCAGCGCATGCAGCAGGCGCAGAGGAGCAAAAGCGCGGTGCGCCCACTGGTGACTCTCCAAGACCGCGTAGCACGAGGCCAGGACGTCGTTGACCAGCAGCGTCCCGTGAGCTGTGAGCGGCGCGAACACGCCCACGGCTTCCTCCCGCGCCACTCGGGCCACGCGCGCCGGCCGAAGCGCATCCCCGCCCGGCGCCAGCACGGAGTCCCCAGCGCGCAGCCGGCGCGCGAACACCGGGGCGAAGTCGCCGGGCGCGGGTGCCGGCCCCCGAGCTGCGAACACCAGGTGCCAGGGCGTGAGCAACAGCTTGCGCGGGGGCCGCTCGGTCTCCACAGCCACGAAGGAGGCCCTGCGCTGCAGGTCCCGGTCCAGGAAGAGCAGCACGGGCGTGGGCACCACCCGGCCCGCCGCGTCTGCCGCCAGCACCCAGTCCCCGCGGTGCAGCTCCCGCAGCCCCTTCCGCTCGCCGCTCTTCAGGCGCACCGTGGCGTTCCCCGGAAAACAGCCGCCGGCCCTGACCGCCAGGGAGTTATCTGCGGGGAACAAGCGTGGAGAGGGCGGACTCAAGAGCTGCGGTGCCCACCCGGGGTGGGGGCAGATTCTCAAAGGCGTGGGTCAAACCCAGCGCGGACCTCGCCAAGCGGGGGACAACCAGGCGGTGCCCCAGGCTCCGGCCCCACGCCGGGCGGAAGGGGGCGATGGACAACACGGAGGCCCACCTGGTCTGGCTAAGGTGGCCAGAGGGCTGCGCGTCACGGTTTTCCGAAGGGGCCCCCTCTGGGCGGGTCTCACCACCCACCACTACTGTACCGGCTTTGACCGACACGTGGACGTGGTTTCGGGACTCGTAGTAGACCCAGTCGAAGCCAGCCTCCACCGCCAGGCGCGCCAGCAGGCCGTACTTGTTGCGGTCCCGGTCGGACGTGGTGATGTCCAGCGCGCGACCCTCGTAGTGCAGCGAGTCCTGGGCGTGGTGCCCGTCCTCGTCCCAGCCCTCGGTCACCCGCAGGCGCACGCCGGGCCACATGTTCATCACGGCGATGGCGAGCGCGTTCACCCGCTCTTTGCAGCGCTGGGGGGCAAAGGGGAATCGGTTTCCACGACCGCGACCGCCACGGGGGAGGCGCGAGGGACCTTGGGGGCAGGTCGATTTTTGCCTCCCCATCCCGCCCTCCTCCCGCCCAGTGCGAGCGCGGTGGGGGCCGAGCATCCGAATAGGCGTGTCCGCCCAGCCGCTCTGCCCGCCCGGCGCTCCGAGGGGGAGCTGTGGGGACATTTCTGAGGCCCAGAGGGGTGCCCAGACCTGGCGCCCCCCACCCCCACTTTGAGCGCCCGCCGCTCGTCCTGCGCCTTCTGGGAGCGGCCGGGGCTGGAGCGGGCGGGTGGCCCCGCGGCCGGGAGGGGCTGGGCGGCCCGGCTCCCCGAGAGCTGCCCGCGGAGCCGGCCCCCGCCCCAGCCCCCGGCCGCCCTCCCTCCGCCTGATTCATCCTTTGTTTCGTGGCCTTCCCTGGCACCGGGCACCGTTTCCTTCCTCCGTTCTTTCCTTCCTCCCTTCCTTCCTTCCTCCTGCGCCTCCTTTGGGCCCCCAGCATTAACCCCTTCGTGCTGCGCGCGCCCCCCGCCCCCCGAGGTGCCCAGGCAGAGACACCCGGGGCCGAGGCTGCTGGAAAAAGGCCGGGGCGGCGGGGGCCGCGCCAGCACAATGGCCATTCTCCGGGATGACTTAACCGAGCGAGAATCCCGGGCCGGGGCCGGGGACGCGCCGGGAGCAGCGGACTCAGCAGCTCCATCCACAAAGGCGCTTTTCAGCCGCCGCGGCTCGGGCAGAGGAAAGGGCAGAAAGCCGCGCCCCCAAAGCCGGCCCCGGCCCCGGCCCCTCCCCCGCCGCGGCGCGGCCGCCGGTTCTGGCCGAGGACCTGCCGGTCCTGCACGCCCCAGCGCCGCGGCTCCGCGCCGGGGCGGCCCCGAGAGGCGTGGGAGCGGCACCTGAGAAGGGCGGGCGGCCCAGCGCGGGTCTGGGGGGCCCCCTGCAGGGGAGGAGGCGAGGAGGCGCCGGGCGGCAGCTGGGCCGCGCCGGGGGAGGGCACGCGGCTATCTCCGCGCGGCGAGCCCGAGACCTTGGCGCGCCCCAGAGCGCGGACCCGGCGGGAGGAGGTGCCCGCGAGGACAGCTTCCTCTCTCCGGCCCCGCGGACCGCTCACCTCCGACTGGGTTTTCTCCCAACCGCCTGAGGAATGCGTTACCCCAGCCCGTCTTCCCGAGTCTTCTACACCTCCGCGGGGTTGGAGAAGAGGGGAGGGAGAAGATAGCAAACGGGGTAATTCCTTCCCACTTTTTGTCGTCTTGTCCCCTAGGGAGGCCCTGAGGCCTTGACCTGCGGGGGCAGTAGCCCAGCGCAGAGCCAACTCAATGGAGGCCTTTTGCAGGCAGGGTGTGGGAGATAAGCAGGACCGACGGGGTTCCCAAGCCTATCAGAGCCCTTCCCGGGCCTGCCCCATGTTCTGGCCCTCGGTCGCAGGGAGCAGCCAGAGGAAAAGGCCACAGGAGCCCATGGCCAAAGGGAGGAGGAGGATCCACTTCCAATTTCTGGGTAGGAAACAGTCTTCAGGGCAGGAACAAGAATTCTCCCCTGGACAGGTTTTCCTAACAAAGTAACCTGGAAAACTATGGCAATTAATCAGAGGAAATCCGTCCTCCTCCCTCTACCCCCACCGCCCCACTCCGTACACAATTAGGTGGTGTAATGGAAAGTGTATACGGGACTCAGAACCAGGAATCCTGAATTCTGGTCCCGGCCACGCCGCCACGAACTGTGAGGTTCTGATTAAATCGCTTTTCTCCTGCGGCCCAGCGCTCAGCTGTAGAGTAGAGGCGAGGGGGTGGAAGAACGTGACCTCCAAGCCTGCTTCCGTTATGTTTGAGGTCACTGGCCAAAGAGGGTCCCCCTCGCCCAGAGCGTTCTCACCTCACCCTAGGCTGGTTAGGAGGAGACATCTGGTCTGCAGGAGACAGATGCGCAGTACATGGTAGTTGAATGTTATAAACGCTTCCGTTCCAAAGAAAGCCTTTGAAATAAGCTGAACCTGAGGGCTACGGAGCCCTCTAATTTCGGGGGGACCTGTCTATTCTTCTAATAGAAAATTGCTTTTTACCCCGACAGTTGTTTATATTCCAAAATAGTCTTGTAGGTTCCAGGATGTTCTAGGATGCCTCCTGCACACCAAAGGCAATTCCTACTCAGCCCCTCCTCAGGTGGATGGCCCAATGACCTGACCCTTGGCTACCCCATTCCCAGGCCCTGCAGCCTCTGGCCCCCCGCTTTTCTACAATCACGTCGGGAGGCAAGCTAAGGGTAGGGCTTTCTGTCTGCGGCCTGGCCCGCTTCTGGCCCCCAGCTCACCCCAGCCCTTCCTGCCTGGCTCGGTAACTGACCCCCGGTCCACGCCTCAGCCATTTCCCGTCTCGCCTGCCGCCATCCTCCTATCCCCGCCCTCCCCGTCTCTCCCAGCTTCACTCTCACTAGTCCCTCCTCCTCCTCCCATCCCAGTCTCTCCCAGTGGGATCCCTCCTGATCACTTCAATCCAGCTGCAGGTTTGTTGGTTTTTGGTTTTTTTTTTTTTTTGGGGGGGGGGATTGTCTTTGAAACTAAAGTCTATAGGTGAAGCCCGGCTCACCGTCCCCCGCTGCTGGGGGAGAGCAGAAGTGGCAGAGTCCCAGCCCAGGTGGGGAGAGCACCCCCTTACCTCGGTCATCAGGCGATCTGCGCCACTGTTTTCCTCATCCTTGAAGATGATGTCGGGGTTGTAGTTGGGCACCAGGTCCCGGAAACGCTCGGAACCCCTTGCCACCCTCCCCTCCGCGGGCCCACTGGCGCCCAGAGTTCGCTCCGGCACGCTGGGCACAAATTGCTTGTAGAGCAGCGGCACGAGCTGCTTGCGCACGTAGCGGCGCCGACCCACCGGCCCCCGGCCAGGCCCGCAGCTCTGGGCCGGCAGCGCCAGAAGTGCCAAGCAGCACAGGGGCACTAGACTGGCCGGCAGCGCCATGGATGCAGCGGACTGGGGCCCAAGAGAACGTTCTTGTCCTCACCGCTCGCCCGTCAGTTGGGCATGTCCCCAGGCACCAGAAAACGCAGCAGGCAGAGCTGCCCCCCGAGTGCCCTAGAGCGCCTGTGGCTCTGCGCACCTGGCGGCCGCCCGTCCTGCCCGCATGTCCCTGGGGGTCTGGAACCTGCTACCGGCGGGCCATCAAAGCAGGGAAGGGGGGTCGTGGGTGAGTGCCAGCCCAGCCCTGGCTCTGCTGCCTGGCTCTGGCAACGCCAGAACGCCTGGGCTCCGCCTTAAGTTGCCCCTGGCCCCGCCCCCCGCCCTTCTCCCAGGACTGTCCCGCCCCCTCCCCCTGGGGCGGGGGTTCTAGCCGGTCACTGCTGGTCCCTTTCGCGTGTTCCACAAGCCGACACCTGCTTTACAGTCCTCGCCTCTGGATAAGCATCCTTCCCCCCCCAAACCTTAGCTTGGTACCAAACCTCCCTCCTGATACTTCAACTAGATCATTGCTCTCCCAAAGCCAACCTTAACAGGCTGCGTTCTCTGCTATCATCCATAAAGTATTGATTTCTCTGGGCATACAATCAGAGCCTCCTTTTCCCTCCCCAAGCTCCCCCACTTCCACCTCTCCTCACTCACCAGAAACCAGGACTGAAAGGGGTGGGTACCAGCCCTTCCTTGGTAGCTTCGCAGGCTTCTACTAGGCGCTTCCCCACAATCAGGAAGTTTCAGTTACAGTCTGGTTTATGACCTCAAAGTTTTCTTGCCTCTTCTATCCTTGCCAGACCCCCAATAGCTGCTTCTTTTCAAATGAATACCATCAGCTGGAAACTGCGGAGGGCAGTGGGTTCTAAACGTCTAACAGGCTATTACCTAACTGTCTTATTTTCTACCTCCCTGGGCCCCCTGGGGCTTTGCTTTAAGATACTCAGGTCTCATCTCAGAAGTTTTGACCCCACAACGCTTCATCTACCAATCTATCATTTAAAAATCGCTTTCCCTAAGAAGCCTCCATGATGTCCTCCTAATGCCAACCTGTTTTCTTGAGAATCAACAATGAACTGCCATGCATTGTGGTACAGTAGGAGACTTATCTGTCCTTGCTAAACAAGGCGGTTCTTAAGCACAAACCTGTTTACCATGTATCCCCGTGGCATGAAGTGCTCAGTAAGTATTTGTGTAATCAACACTTTTTGGCGTTTTCCATACTCACCCCTCACTCTGTTCCACGGCTAGCACTCAGCAACTCTGTGCTGCCTTTCCTCAAAATGCCTGACCGCCTTTTGCGAGAAAAACCACAGGAACTATACCTAAGTGACTACTAGGAGAGGCGAATGGTACCCCTAGAAGTTGTGCAATGCACAATCTGCATAACCTTCAGCAGAAATGTGTCCCTACCCCCAATGAAGCGGGGGTCTTGCATAGTATTCAAGGTACTCAGACTCAGGAAAGGTGGAGTTAGGTTCTTCTCCGAGTTAGAAATCACAAACCCTTGTGAGTCAGTCACTTCTTTTACTTTACATCCAACAGCCAAGTCAGGGAGGAGAGGGCTAATGGTGTGTGTGGGTTTACTATTCCTATACAGATGCCCATCTATCCCCAATATCCAAACAAGGCTACAAGCCCAGAGGTATAAGGAAAAGCAGGGGCCCAATCTGTTTTAAGGCCACGGTAGGCAGTTTCCCAATGCCTTATCGTATGCCCTAACACCACACCCAAGTCCCCAAAGGACACTAAGAATCAGGACGGAGAATAAGGGAAAGGATCCCTGTTTCTCAGCTGGTAGACTCGGGACTGATAGGAATAAGATCGTGCAAACAGATATAGACAGGCCCTTTAAAAACCAAACAAACCCTGGGGTCAACTTTATTGCTGACGGTTGTGGTTCTTCCTCCCTGTGCCCTTGTCTCCCCAGTGGTTCAAAGCACCTCCAGGATAACACAGTGCTTAGGCTCTTCTGGGCCAGAGGCCAGGGAGACAGTTCACTTCCAAGTCTGCCCCCAGCTCAGTCCCTCCCCTGCCCCCACCCCACTCTATTGCACATCAAATCATGTAAACATGGCTACAGGCATGGCCCGGAACAGCAGTGAGGCAGACTGATGTGTAAACGGATTTGGGACCAGGAGCTATACCCAGTCCCCCGGGCCCCCCCTCACTCCCCCGCAGTATTGAGGCCCAGTTAAATCTGGAAAAGCAGAGGGGCCTGGTCCCAAACTCTGGCTCAGATTATGCAACAGTGCAGATGACTCAGGTCCCCTATGCCACCCACCCTTCTCAGATTCCAGGTCCTGAAGTCCACCCTCCCTGGGTGCCCCCCCAGGCCTGAGCAGCAGATGGCAGTGTCCAGTTTTCTTCCTCCCACTTCCAGCTGGAGATCACTGGTGCTGGGTCTTCCTAGACGCCCGGGGGAAACCAGAGACAGGCAATGGCAGTCTGTCCAGCCCTGGAGAAGAGGGGAATGGCCAGTCAAAAGTGGGGTCAGTCCTTAGGGATAAGACCTCCGTAAGCCACAGAATGGGTAAATAAGGCACATGACCAACAAAGCAGGGCACGCCATCTCCCCTGCAGAGATGAGCACTGCCCCAGAGCACCCCCATCTCACAACCACCCCCCACCCTGGGACTCTAGTCCCTCTCACCAAAGGCCCGGATCAGTTCTGCCCGCACAGCTGCAGTGAAGGTTTTCACCAGACAGAGGGTGGTGAGGCCAGCGAAGGCTGCATTGTAGAGGAACACGATGTAGAAATTGCCCAGCCAGTTGAAGCGTCCAAAATCACCCAGGAGGTCAAAGCGAGTGAGCCCTAAAGTACAAAGGTCATGATGGGCGGTGGGCTCCCCAGACCCTCAGGGGCTCCGGGCCCAGCTTTCTGCTGCCTCCTGGTGGCCACTTCTCTACACTGCAACCGACTGGTCAGTCTCTCCCATGCAGTTGCTACTCCCACTTCCTAAGCGCCTGCTCAGGGGCAGCTCTGACCCGAAGCCTCAGCAGCTAAGTCTTGTGCCAAGTTCCCTTTCCGCTCTGGCATCTTCTCTGCCAATGAGGTCCCCTCTGGCTCTCTGGGCCTGATACTTGTTCATGGGGCAGGAACTTACAAGCTGGTTACCAAATATTTTTTGGTAGAGCAGTTTGGAGGCAGAGAGCTCAGTCTCTGACCCAGCTGCTTTGGTTCCTATCCGAACTCCGTATTCATACCTAACCTTATGATGGAGCTAATTCCATAAACACATGTATCTCAGTTTCCTCAACTATATGGTACAGAAAATAATGGGAGTGTGAGAATGAACTGAGACAACACACATAGGACACTGTGCCAGGCACTATTCTAACGCTCACCTAGCACTTACTAGTAATATCATCAATCAAAATTCTGGGGCCCGCTCCCCTCCTTTAAACAAAATATTCCTTTGCACCCAACCTAAAGGAACCACTGGTGAACAGACTGGCCTGGTTTCACTAAGTCCCCATGGCCGAAGTACAAACGATATACTGGAAAGAATATGAGCTTAAGAACCAAACAGAACTGTCTTGGGGAGAGCTACTTACACTCTCGAACATCCTTACTAGGTAATGCTAGATCATAGCTCTAAAGATGGGATGACTGAGTATATTATTTGATAGCTCCAATGTGTGGGAAAAGCACTGGATTGGGGTTTAGGGTGTAAGGATTCCAACCCGGCCTTGCCTCAAATGAGTTACACAACTCTGAATAAATCAATTGGTCTCTGTTTCTTATCCTGAAAATGAGAATTTTAGATCATCTACCCCAAAGGAATATTTGGGGAAAAGTGATGCTTCTTTACCATGAAAATGGGTGAGGCTGTGGGATGTAACAAGCAGAAAAAGAATGCACTATGAACCTTAGTACAGGCATGTCAGACAGATTCAGTGTCTCCATCTGTATATTGGGGACAATACTGGCTCAATGGTTTGCTGTGGTAATGAGAGAAGGCTGAGCATGAAGTACCAGTTTGGCACCCATAGGTACTCAAAAAAAAAAAAAAAAAGGCAATTCCTTCCTCTTTTCACTACTTACCCAGAGTTCGAGAGAAGACAGGAAGCGCTGAGCTTAGGACCAGCAGACAGACAGAGTTTCCAATTATCTGAGTGGGAGTAAAGAAAGGGGAGTGAGAGTAACAGAGCTCTAGCACCCACTGCCCTTGCAGGCCTGGGGGAGGCTTCCTCCACCACCCCTTACCTGTGTCATGGCTGTGTCCTGTCGTCTGGGCCGGAGGCCCCGGAAGAGTGGAGAGCTATAGAACCCCACGACTGAGGAGACCATCAGGTAGCTGCTGTGGTTAGGGAAGAACTGGCCAGCTCCCAGACAAAAGCTTCATCTCAAAGGAAATGGGCCTTTGCCCCCAGCCCGCCTTTCAAATTCAGTCTTATCCTTTTTTCTGAACCCTAATTTGGTGAAGACTTGCCCCCTTCCCCATCACTCCCACCACAGCCCTGCCCAGAGTACCAGGAGACATGTTTGCCAAATGGAGGCAACCGTGGGTTTCCAAAAGGATACAAAATGAGTATAACCTGGATGACGGCACCAAAGGAGCCCAGCTTTGAGAAGGAGGCCTGGCCCAGGGAGGCACCCTAAGGGATGGAGTAGGTCACTGAGGAGCACTCCGCACCTCTAGAGCCACCCAGCACCCAGCCTTCCCTTGAGCCTCAGCTTTGACCCCCCTCACCCCAGCTGTGTTAGGCCCTCCCCAAAAGCTGTAGCATGAAGGCAGCCCCAAACCTGCATGCCCCGTGGCATGGCTGCCTCGTCGATGAGCAGCTCCAGAATGTGAATGGCCACAATGAGCACAGACAGACCCTGTGTGAGACAAGGTCACAGGCTCCGTGTCTGTCCCACTCACAGCTGTCCAGAGTTGACCCAGCAGACACTCTGGTCCAACAATTTTAGTTTCTAATTAGTCGTGTGGGACCCCCTCAAGACTGGTGCAAGCAAGAGACCACCTCCAAGGGTATTGCATGATGCACTTCTCCAGGAGGAAGGATTGTAAAAAGGCCAAATAGAAATGTGCACTTCGTCCTCCAGAGCAGTAAGATTTACTCCCAAGTTCAGGGTGTGGCAAGCGGAGGCACGGACTGGATTTCAACCCTTACTTTCACCCCCAAGCAAACTTGCATTACTACTCAGTAGCCCTTTGTGGTCTTGGACTAAGTCCTTAGCTTCTGTTTCTTCATTTACAAAACTGGGATGTGCTCCACACGCAGAAGGTCATAAGGTCATAAAGGAGGCACTCAGTGAGAGGCAACAGCTGTAATTGATGATCCTCCCCCCACTTTCCTGAGAAGGCCTGAAGTACTCAAGGGACTACCACCCACCCATGCCCACTAAAGCTGGCACACTCACTGTTAGCACCAGCAAACACAGCATGGCCAAGGGGTAGCCCAGGTTCCTCTGCCAACCTGAAGCCTTCCGCCGCCTCTCTGCACATGGATAGGAAGCTGTTAGCAAGGCCTGAAACAAAGGGCCGCTCTTCGGGGGACGACCTAGGTGTCCTATTCCCAGCGGTCCACTTACCCAGCATGACCCTCTGGGTCTGCAGAGCCAGCACCTGTCTGTGTAGCAGCTCCATGTCCAGCGGCAGCCAGCAGGAGGTGGGATCTGAAGGCAGAGAGGTGGTGCTGCCCCCAGTCCTGCAGCCCAGCCTAAGCCACCACCACCCTCCAGCTAGGCAGAACTGCAACTCACTGCAAATCCTGCGGGTCAAAGCTGCCTCCTCAAAGTCTGAGCAGTGCAGCTGCTCCTCCAGGTCTTCCAGCAGCTGGGCAGGGGGAAGCAAGGGACTAACTGTCACTAAGCAAGGGACTAACTAACACGATCCCGAGGACCCAGGCAGAATCCTGTTCATCCTAGGGCTCCACTGTCCCCTTCTTTCCACTAACCCATGAAGTCCCCCCCAACTGCCCTGTGTGTCCGGTGACCAGCTCCAGATGAGAACCAGGTCCCTGCACCTGGCCAAGGGGTCAGGGACCAACGAAGGCCACAGGGTGCTTCATGGTTCCAGCCTCAAGGAAACTGACCTCTCAGGATCAAAGGGCAAGGGGCACAACATACCCGGGGCTTGACCAGCAGCTTCCCAGTGACCGAGAACATGCGGGCGAGACCTAGCGGAGTGCACACTGTGGGGACGGGGACCAGTCACTTACCAGACCCTTCCCCTCCTCACCCCACTTCTCATCTCTCCAGTCCCTCTCGGCCACCCTGTCCCTCTTGTCTAAGGACCATGCCCATCCCTCCAAGAATCTGAACACTCACCCAGGAGCAGCAGGACCCCAAGGAAGGAGATACAGGAGTAGAGGTAGGGAAGATAGTACTCCCAGAAGTCTAGGGGGTTAAAAAAAAAAAAAAAAAAAGATACATTAGTTCAACTCTCTCCTCCTGTTTACTAGGAGTTAACAGGACTCAGAGACTAGACAAGGATACACTACAGGGGTGAGGCAGGTATGCAAAAGAGAAAGCTGAGCAGCGTCAGCAGAAGATGGGGTGTGAAGGATTCAAGAAAATGGCGATTTTAAGCCCCTCTTAAAAGGTACACCACTAGAGGTCCCAAGCACCAGGGACTATGCAGTCAAATCCTCAACCCTGTTGAGCAAAATGCAATCTGGATATTAATGTGAAACCTCCCAACTTTAACAAGTCAGCAACTGACTCACACATTTTTTATTTTTTTTTTTTTTAATAGAGGCATGCTTTATTTATTTGTTTGCTGGTTTGTTTGTTTGTTTTGTTTATACATGCACTGGGTACAGTCAGAAGCGCGGGAGGGTGAGAGAATTCACCAGAGTCAGAGCGGGGAGCAGAGCAGGCAGAAGGACCGAAGTACACCTCTGAGGGGAGCAGCGGGCGGCAGGAGAGGTCTGCGCGCCATGTGGGACCCTCCTCTGGTGGCCGGGGAGCAGCCGGGGATCGAACTGGCGCCGCAGAGGCCGTGGGCAGCTTCGCAACCCAGCGCTCAACCGCTGCGCCACCGGGGAGGCCCTCACACATTTTTTAATCATTGCATAGGCCCAATGGAACATTTCTGCAGGTCAGATTTGGCCCAAAGGCTATAAGTTCAAAACTTCAGGCTAAGAGAAAGTGTTCTAATATTCTCAACCTCGAGGGACACCACTGTTGCAGGCAGGGGGACGTCCATCAACGGAAGCGCCACAGAGCCTGGAGTGGGGAGGAAGCTGGCCCTCTCACCATAGAGCGACTCCCTGCTGGCCTTGTTGTTGTCCACAATGGCTGACGCCACCCACACCATGCCCAGCACCAGCAATGTGAGGAGCACCAGCATCACCACAGTCTCGTAGACTCGGCCCAGGACACCCTACAGGAGGTGAGCAGGGAAGGGGGTAACATTAGGCCAGCGTGGGGAAGGAAGGGGACCTGGGGGATGGCAGCCTAGCTGTGGGAACCAGAGGTCTGGATTTGGGAGACAGGGGAGGCTGTTTCCCTCTTTATTCCTCTGAGTTACACTCATAAGTCCTCCCACCCCACATCCTAGGGCCCTCCCCTATGCTGGATATTCCTCACATGCAACCTCCCTTCCAGGGTCCATTCCCTAGCCCTGTCTTTCCCTGGGAGGTTGACCCCGCCCTTCGAGTTCTGCATCACATAAATCTCTCTGTCCCTTGGTTTTCTGTTCCACTTTCCCAATGAACAGGAAGAGCAGAAGTGTGGAAGATAGAAAAAGGTAGTCAGGGTATTTTTCCTGCCACTTTTGGCACTATGGTTTTGGCAGTGGCCCTAAGAAAATAGTTCCCCTGCTGGGTAACCCCACCCCCCAGGCATCAACTATCATGGGTTCCAGAAACTATTTCTTTCCTTTGTTCCCATAGGGCTAAAGATCCTTATGACTTCCTGCTGTCACTAGCACCTCAAACTCTTTGTTGGTCCCTTTAACTCTCACTAAACCTCTACAAAATCTCTTCATTAAAATTTCTTCAGTTGAACCATTTGAGTGGAATTCTGTTTCCTACTTGGATTGTTTGATCGATCCCTTGCTCACCTTTCTGGAGCCAGCGAAGCCCTCAGACTCAGTGAAGAAGTATGCAAAGGGCATGAGAAAGATGAGAGACAAGTTGGAGAAGAGAAAAACAAGGTTCCAGAGGCCTAGAGAAAAAAGACAAAGTAGAAATGGTTAGTGGGTCTCCCTGGTGGTGTAAGGGATTAAGCACAGCGCTGTGAAGCTTTCAGCGTGAGTTCAATCCCAGCAGCGGCCAGGGAGCTACCCACAAGGTGCAGCAGACCTCTCCTGACTCACCCGCTGCTCCCCTCAGCAGTGTACTTCAGTCTATCTGCCTGTTCTGTTCTCCGCTTTGTATCTGGTGAATTCTCTCACCCCCCACACCTCTGGCCTGTACCCCAGCTCTTGTATGCATAAATAAATAAATCTTAAAAAAAAAAAAAAGGCTACACAATTTGAAAAAAAAAAAAAAAGAAAAAGTAGAGATGGTTAGTAAGGCGGTGCCCAGCCCACCCTGACTGTTGTGGTGGTGGGGGGAGAGGAGTGACAGGTGACTGACTAGCCCACAGCTGCCTGGGTCTGCCTGACCTTGTCTGCTCCCTATCCCCGCTCCAAGCTGCAACCAGGAGCCACACACCATGGATGAGGGAGCCGTTGAGCCACTGGATGTAGTAGTTCCTAGGCAGTGAGAGCAGCACCTCATTGCTGATGATGGAGAAGGGCAGGAGCAGGACAGCACCCAGGGCGACCGCCAGGGTAAATGTGCAGAGCTCAAGCCTGGATGGGGAAAAGGAAGAACACAGTGCCCTTGTTTACCTCAGACACTCACTGGGCCCAAGAAGCTGCATTCCTCCCTGCAAGCACCTGTGGTTCATCCTAGGACCAGCAGTGACAGACATAGGGGAGGAGCACCCAGCACCCCGCCCCCTGCCTCCACCCCTCCTCCCACTCCAAGCAAGCCTTGGCACACGGGATGGGCACACCTCAGGCATTCACCGGAACCTAGTCACCTGTCATGTCAATTGCCCAGACTGCCCCCAGGAATGTGGCCCTCCCACACATGCCTATAGGGCACACTGGGCATGGTGCCAAAGCTAAGGGGCCCAGCTTCTCTCCTCTGCTCAGGGATGTGAATTTCTAAGCTGGCCTCTTCACCCTGAGTAAGAGCAAGGTCACCCCATGTGGCGATGGCCTGCACAAGGGCAAAGTGGGGAAAAGGAGAGCTGAAATCCAGCTTCACAGCCAAGGCCTGAGTCCTAGGTTGCAAAAGCTAAAAAGAAGGGACATATTTATCTAGTTGATCCATCAAGGGGGGTGAGGTTGACCCAGAGAGGTCATCTATTTTTTTCTGTATATGCTAGTGAATAATCCTCTCAGAACCCAGCATGTCTGCCCTGAGGGGTCTACCTGCCCCAGCCCCGGTTGCTTCCATTAATCTGCATCCTGACCCTCTCTATCCCCAATGCCATTTTGGGTGACTCAGGAACCACAGCTGACAGTTCCTGGCCACGAGGCTCCTAGCTGCTCCTGACCTAACCAGGAGGACAGGAAGAACAGCTTTTCCAAGCATCCCCAGAGTGTGGTAAAGCCGGAAGAAGCCAGAAGTGGGGCGGAAGGACAAACTCTGTCTTCACTGTGTGACATCCCATTCTCTCCCCATCTCCAGGAGCCTTACTAGGTCCCAGCTTCTAAAGCTGCTGGCGCCAGGTGCTCAGGCAGTGACACTTACGCAATCTTGTTGACCGTAGCATCTTCGTCATCCACTACAAGAGACAGAGGAAAAGGGAGGAGGCAGGATATCAGTGGGCAGCTCTAGGAGTCAGCAATAATGTGGTCCGCCCCTTCGGTGCTCCCTCAGAGAAGGGCCTGGGCCCACAGAGGCAGAGCTGGACAGCAGCTCTGAGAGTGCTCACAGTATCAACCCCTATTCTCTGGCCATGGTGGAGGCCTAGAAATTAGTGGTCCTAGGTGGAGAGATTATGGGCCAGAAATCCCCCCATTTCCCTCCTTCCCACAATTTCTCCTATTACAGGCTCCTCTCCACAAACTGAAAATACAAAACACTGTTCTGTGAGGTTGGTTTTATCAGTGGCTGGGTGCAGTGAAGGGAAGTGAGGGGAGGGACAGGGGAGAGTCATAGATCAGGCCCCCAGGGTTTGGTGGAGGTTTATAAAGTCATGTGGAGGGAAGGACCAGGGCCAGGACGATCTGGCCAGGCTGGAGCCAGGAACTGAGGCAAATATGCCCTCTCCCACCCCATCACACAGTGCCTACAGGGAGGAAAGTTCCAATCTGAGCACTCTTAGGGTCTCTATGAAAACAACAGCCACCATCACCAGCAACTGGGACCTCATTGGTCAGGGCGGTCTCTGGTCCCGGATGGAGAGGCACAGGGAAAGGAGACGTGAGCTCATGCACAGGACAACATTCACCTGCAGTTGCCCATGTTGGGGTCACATAGGGCTTCCACATGAGCCATCTCATTTGGTCCACACAAAGATGATGGACTAAGGAGAGATTTTCAGGCCCATTTTGTAGAAGAGGAAACTGAGGGTCAGAAAGGTTACGTAACTTTCCCAATGGCCTTACTAGTGGAAGACACTTCCACCGAGACTGGCAGAAGGGAAGCAGAAGAGACAAAGACTCCAGAGCAGCCACCTCTCCTTTCCCAGCAGGCATGACTGGCTCATTCCCCGGAGGCTGGCCCCATGACAACAAGAACACTGGCAGAGGACAGGAAAGAGAGGGAAATCACAGGTACCTGTGGTGAACTCAGCAGGCTTCTTGAAGCGGGTCAGGGCAACGTGGCAGAGGATGTAGAGTGTCGCAAACAGAAGTGTTGAGATCTGTGGCAGAGTGTGAGCTGGAGTGAGAAGTTCTAATCCCTGGCACATTCTATAGCCCAGATGGTCTCTCTGTTAATTCCACCGGGTCACTTCCCCAAAAAAAGGACCCACACTTTTTGGGGTCCCATCTTCTATCTGGTACTTCCTTCTAATCATAGACTCGAAGCAGGGTCTCCCCAGTGGTGCAGCGGATTGAGCACAGCGCTGTGAAGCTGTCCACAGCCTCTGCAGCGCCAGTTCAATTCCTGGCCGGCCAGGGAGATCCCCACATGGCGAGGCAGACCTCTCCTGTCTTGCCCACTGCTCCCCTCATCAGTGCTTTCGGTCCGTCTGCCTGTTCTGCTCCCCACTCTGTCTCTGGTGAATTCTCTCACCCTCCTGCGCTTCTGGCCTGTACCCCAGCGCTTGTATAAATAAATAAATCTTTAAAAAAGAAAGAAAGAAACACAAAGCAGTGGCTGTCCCCTGCACCTGGGGAAACAGCACATGTCTAGCCCCATGAGGGTCTGCCCAAGAGACAACGCTTCAGTCAAACCCTGGTTGGTAAACGGGCACAGAAAACTACCAGAGACGCACATATATGCCTCAGGCCGCAGAACCAGAGGGAATTTATACCTCTGGTTTATGTTACTGGAAAGGGAAGCAGGTCTGAGGGGAGGTAGGGGATGTCTGCTTTGTCCTCCATCCACTCTTCCTCCCTTTACCCTGACTCCACTGCCACCTCGACTCACCTTCCAGGCAAGAATTAAGTAGGACTCATGTTCCTAGAACAAGTCAGATTTTCCACCTCTGTGTTACTCAATGGCCTGAGATATCAAGCCCACTCTAGGCCAGGCCAGCACTTCATAATCCCTTACCTCTAACAGCACCCTTAGTTGGCAAGACATCTACAAAGTTTCTAGAGCTGGCATCAGCCCTTTTCTCAAGCCTTGGTTCCCACCTTAAGTGACTTCCAGTCCTCTCAGGGCCTGCCCCATGCACCTGGGCCTAGACTTCCACTCAACAGTTATGGCAGGATTGGGTTGGGTTACTTGGCACATGCAAGTGCCCCCACCCAATCCCAAGTCAGCTCCAGCTGTCTAGGAGGGGGGACTCTGATCAGGCTGTCTCCATGGTCAGAGAGTCTTGAGAAGAGATACTACTGAGTTGGAAGTAGGCCAAGAAGGTAGGTAGGATCAGTCTTGTGGGTCCTCCAGTTCTCAAGGAGCTGGCCCCACAGAGAACCTGCACACAACTATCTACTCAAGGAGGCCAGAAGTCACAGAGACCCCAGGAGAATCATGGCTCTAATACAATGTTGTCGTTTTTTAACATTTACAAAGCAGTTGAATGAGCCAGTGAGATTGTAACTGCAGGATTGTTATAGCCTAGTGCTCTGCCCTGGGCTTGCGTAACAGTCAGGAAGGTGGGAGGGCTCAAAAGGTCAGGCTGGAGTTCCACGCAGTTCCAGAAGTTAGGTCATACACTAGAGCTGAGGATGAGAGCCAGGTGGGGGAGGCACGAGATGCCTTCAAGCTGTCCTTGGCCAGCACTGATGTCCTCAACTAATAGGATTACAGGATGGGGGAGAAATACAGGAGGCTGCTTCTCTGTCCAAGGTCTCATCTCTCCCTGTTCTCTAGGAATGTGGGCCTCTGGCCCTACACTGTCTCAAGGCCTGGGCATGAGTCCAGAATATCCAACCCTCCATGTGGATTATCCACTAGTGAACACACAAGGCAGGCTTCCTGAAAGCAGATCTGGAGTTCCACACATGAGCAGACATACGCCCTAATTTTCAGTCCTGACAGGATCTAGTTATGTCCTGGCTCACTTTACCCCTACTCCAATCTGAGGCTGCCAAGAGCTGACTAGAGTCCAAAGGCTCCAACTGAGAAAAAAGAAGGATAACCCCAACAATGGGTACCCCCCACTCACTAACACTTCTCCCAAATCTTTCCCCTTTCCTTTCCATTTAGTATTTGAGTGAGGCTATCCTGGGGAGCTCTGAGGAAGAAGTCAGAGAAGAAAGGAGAGTGATGTTCAAAGCAGGCCTGAGAAAGAGGAGACGCCCCCTAACCTCCACGGGGTGCCCCTAGCCCTGTACTGAGAAGTCCACTGGCCTGTGATAGGTTCAATTGTTGCTCTCAGCGGCAGTGAGGGAGTAAAGGAAGGCATCGAAGTGCCCTCTGAAGTACTTGGGTGGGGGCGGGGGTGTGCGTAGGGGAAAAATGAGGGCCCACTTACAGGAGAAATCTGGGAAGTTGCAGGGTTTCTAACAAACATCAATAGGGGGAGAAAGGGGGGCAACCTTAGCTGCCCATCTCTACACATTAAAATCCACTTCAGTAAGAAATCCTTTCTTGCAAAGTGGGAGGCCCACCAGCCCCCCAGTTCTTCCCCGCCCGCCACCTCTACACCTCCCGTCTTTCCAGGCATCAAGTTCAGGGTGTTAGTGTGTCTCCCCTTTATGAAACGTCAGCTGGGGTTCAAAGGGAAACGCAGGTGAGCCCTCCCCCAATCAAAGCGCTCTCTCTCTCTCTCTCTCTCTCTCTCTCTCTCTCTCTCTCGCTCACCAGCGTCTCCGACTCCTGGAGACTCACGCCCAGAACCTCGGGGGGGGGGGGGGGCCGCGGGAGGCTGGGGGAGGGGCGTGAGGAGGGGAGGAACGGAAACCGACCGGCTTTGTTTATCGCGCAGCTCCCCAGCAGCTCGCCCCGTGGGTTCCCAGCCCGGGCACCCGCTCCTCCGTCGAGCCGGAGTCCCGGCCGGGTCTGCCGGCGCTCTGAGCCCGAAGGCTCACCCCCCGACCCGAACTTCCAGCTCCGCCGGGACCCCCGCGCGTCCCCCCGCCTCGTCCTGCCCTTCGCGCCCCGGCCCCGCACTCACGATGCACTCGCGGACCCTCTCGTGGAAGAGCTGCTCCCGCACGGATAGCACCTCGTAGTCAGCTGCTTCCATACTCTGCTCAGCATGGCTGGGCCAGGGTGCCTCCGGGCCCGGGGAGGACGAGCGGGGGGAAGCCGCCGCCGCCAAGCACCCGGACCCAGCCTAGAAAGAAGCCGCCTCTCGCCGCCTGCGACGGAAACTCGGGGTAATCCCGAGCTCAGATTCAGACGCCCCGACGCCCCGCCCTTAAAGGGGCAGGCACCAGCCTCCCGGTTTTAAGGGTTCCGGCCCCCCTCCCCGCCCCTCCCCTTTAAGGCTGGGTCCCAGTCACGTTTCAACGCAAACACCCGCCACCGCGCTCTCGGCGGGGACGCGCGGGTCCTTGTTCCAGCTCACGGGCGACCGCCTGACGTCACAAGGAGTGAGCGCGTTCCTTCCAGGGAAAGCAATTCATTGGCTCCCGGAGAGCTGCCACTCACCACGAGAGGAAGCTGATAGGCTGGTCCGGTGCAAGGAGGCGGGATCCTTGGGGCCTCTGGGTGCTCAGGCCAAAACTAAACAAACGTCTCCTTCCTCTCCTGCTGTGGAAACGCTACGATTTCTGGGTTTGAGTAGCAGCCAAGATTTTGGTTTGACAGTGAACATGAACCATTTAGGTGACACGAACCGTTGACACTAGGCCAGCCGGCAGGTGTGAGAGCACCATGAGGGTCTCAGACCGCTGCCCGGTGACCCAGGTCCTTAGCGGCGTTTTTCCTGAAAAGGCATTTATGGGGGGGAAGGGGGGGGGCGGAGGGGCCTCTCCTCTTCCAGTTTTTAGGCGACCGCGCGGAGGGGCCCCTCCTCTTCCAGTTTTTAGGCGACCGCTTTTGTGGGAGGCGTCGTGTGTGCGGCAGGACACTGCAGCGAGAACGACAAATACCCTTCTGGAACTGAGGAGGTGTCCCCGGGGGATCATTGCCGAGCGGGGCTGAGTCAGACTTTAACAGGCCACTGATGTGCCGCCGCTCACTTAATAGAATTAATCATTTTAGTATCACAACAACCCTTGAGCCCTTCCTCTAAACTGGAGGGAGCAGTACAGGGAAACTCAAAAGAAGACCTGAGTTTTGCAAAGTCCCCCCTAGTGAAGACTAGAGGCCCTTCTAAAGGTCTACACCGTGTCCAAGTAATATCTCAGCTAGGGTCAGGGGCAGAATTAACTGAGTTCTGTACCCTTGTAACTTCTTCGGGACAAGTTATTTCTATCTTTTTTGTTTTCACAATAATTTGCAGTAAAATCTTAGGAAACAACACACAGTGTGTGGAGGAGGTTTGACTGGGGGCAAGAAAGGGAAGCTACGAGGAGGTGTGGCTTTGGCTTATTGATTGTGTTAGATAAAAACAGGAGTGCAGCAAGCTTCTGTGAGAGAGGTAGCCTTGAGGCTTAACTATTCTCCGATCTTTATTACCAGTCTACGTGTTTTAATGATGTTGTTAAAACACAACTCAGCTCTTGCTCCTGCTCAATATTCCTCAAAAGCAGTCATAGGCACTTAAAAATCACCTGCCTTAAAGTAAGCCTTCAGAGGTTGCAAACTGGTGGCCTTTAGACTGCATTAAACTATGCTATATTTTGTTTGACTCCCAGCGTTTTTAAACAAATTTGAACATTTACAAATCAGGAGATGACAATTTAAAAATTCAGATTTCATAAATGGAAGAGCTAGCAGAGCAGAGCAGCAAGGACCTATGCATGACTCTGTGGATGGGGTAGGATGTGCTCCAGTCTTCCACAGCCCCTATCACTCTGATAAGCACTTAGACCTCAGTGATTTTTTTTCTATTTGCATCATCAGACTAAAACAGTGCCAAGGTGAGGAGACATCACTATTTGTGGGTTCTCTCTCCTGTGCTCACAATTGCAAAACACTACTCAGGCTCAGGGTGCAACAACAGCTGGGTTTACTAGCAAAGGGGAGATTGGGGAAAAGAAGTTTCTAAGGCCACAAATGGCCAGCTGTCCTAACCTACATTGTGTCTGCAGTGTCTTATAGTCCAAAACAAAGACTCCTTGAGCAAGACAGCAGTATCCCTTTGATGAGAACCTGTTTCTGGTGGCACACCAGTAATCAGAGGATCAGGATTCAGGATTCAACTCATGGTGGCAGCTGAAGGTGATCACAGATGGGGCTGCTGAGGTGACAGCACAGCAACCAATAGCAGCAGTCTGAAGGTAGGGCTGGACAGCACTGAATGCTGGAGTGGATGGTGCTGGATGCAACAGAACTAGGAGGCAGTGCCAGAGGATGAGAGTTAGTGGACACCTCTCAGAGATGGCTGGATACAGGTTAGCAGGGCCTATCAGCACCAGTCAGTACATGTTAGTGCCAGAGACATCAGTGTTATAGCTCTTTGAGATCTGTTAGCATAGGCCAACAGCAGACAGCTCTTTTAGATTCTGGGTGCTGACCTACAGTGCTCTCTACAAACAATGTTAGAGGGCTGAAGGCAGTGCAGATGTCAGGTCTCTGTGATGGTCTCTGAAAAGGTCTATGAGGTCTCAAAGTCTGCAGAAGTCTCAGTCTCTGTCCTGATGAGTTTTCCGAAAGAATCTGTCTGCAGGGCCTCCCTGGTGCCACAAGGGGTTAAGACGCAACCTATGAAGCTCTCTGCAGCCACGGAAGTACGAGTTCAATCCCCAGCCAGGGAGATACCCACATGGCACAGCAGACCTCTCCCGACTCACCCGCTACTCCCCTCAGCAGTGTATTTCAGTCAATCTGCCTATTCTGTTCCCCATTCTGTCTCTGGTGAATCTTCTCACCACCCCCACCACACACACCTCTGGCCTGCATCCCAGATCTTTTTTTTTTTTTTTAAAGATTTATTTATTATGTATTTATACATACAAGCACTGTATTTATACATACAAGCACTGGGTACAGTCAGAAGCGCGGGAGGGTGAGAGAATTCACCAGAGCCAGAGCGGGGAGCAGAGCAGGCAGAAGGACCGAAGTACACTGCTGAGGGGAGCAGCGGGCGGCAGGAGAGGTCTGCGCGCCATGTGGGACCCTCCTCCGGTGGCTGGGGAGCAGCCGGGGATCGAACCCGCGCCGCAGAGGCTGCGGGCAGCTTCGCAACCCAGCGCTCAACCGCTGCGCCACCGGGGAGGCCCTGCATCCCAGATCTTGTATGCATAAATAAATAAATCTTTAAAAAAAAGAAGAATCTTTCTGCAAAAGGTCTGATGATCAATCCAGCTGGCAGCTGATTTGTTTGATAATCTTCTTCAGAGCCCCTGTCTTTCAAGCCTGATCAGTCTGTTTACAATCCCAGCTGTTTGACTGGTGCAGATTGAGCTCCACTCAGATTGGTTCATTTACAATCCTGAATGGTTTCAAAAACCTTGAATGGCACTGGTGAGAGCTTGAACTTGATTGATCTGTTTACAATCCCAGTGCTGTATTCAAAAGTGAAACCCTGGTAGTGTACTCAGACCTGACCCACGCTAAGGTCAGGTGGTCTCATTCACAGTTGGCTCAAAGGAGCCGCACCCAGAGTCAGCTTCAGGGGGGCCAGGTGTGGTGGTGCAGGGGGCCCCTACAGCAAAACTGGACATGTGTCCAAGCAACTGGTGCACAGGCTGATGCTCAGAGCCTGCCAGGCTGGCCTGGGAACTGCCATAGCACAGCCCAGGGCTATGCCACCAGCACTCAGGAGGCCCCTGGACCTTGAATCCAGTTGGCCTTGGGTTCACAGTCTCTAGGTGCTGTGGGGCTCCTGTTACAAGCCCAGCTGTGCGTTGGAGTTTTTGACCTTTGATGTAGTCCCTCTGTTGCTTCAACTTGGCACCATCATCACGCTGGCCTTTCATCACTTCCTGGTAGACCCACCATGCTCTTTCTTCCTCAGGGTTCTGCAATCAGTGTTTCCTTCACCCAAAAGATCTCATTAGTTCCCCCTCTCGTTCTCAGTTCACTTTTGGCTGGCTACAGTTTCCAAGTTTGAGTATAAATGTTACATGTTGGGAGGCATCTTCCTCCACTGTTCTACCTAAAGAAACCTATTTTTGTCATATTATTTATTACAAGTTGGCATAATTCAATTTCTCTCTCTCCTTCATAGGCTCCTAAAGGGAAAGAATCATGTTTGTCTTGAACACAGTTTATTTCCTTAAACCTTAGCCTGGTACCTAATACAAGTGGGTACTCAAATATTTGCAAATATAGTGAGAAAGGTGGCAAGAATTGCTGCTAATAATTAGAAAACTGGGTTCTGGTTCTAGCATTCTCATCCTGGGCTACACTAGATCATATCTGCAAAACTAGAAAACCCTTCAGATTGCTTCCCAATCTATTAATCTAAGTTGTTTACGATTTACAAAATGTTATGACATCACCTGAGTCACACCTTAATCTTACAATAACTAGTTAAAATAGATTCTACTTAGAGACTTATCATCAGATTGTACAAATGTTTACAAATGTACTTTAAAAGCTAAAATGTCAATTTAAAAAAACAGGTTGGAACTGCATAAGACAAGCTCAAGCTCAAAATAAAGAAAAAGAATCTGAAAGACTTTCAAGAGAAAGTAGTTTGAAGCTCAGAAGCAATCCACATTATCTGCTCACAAGTCCTTGAGCCTTTGTTTAAATTCTATTTACAGAATTAGTCCTCAGAGCACTACACAAAAAGATACTATACAGCCTCTTTAAACTTACCAAATGTCCCTTTGTCCAGATTCTATCTGCATCTAAGACTCAACCCAAATACTGTCTTTTCTTCTATTCCTTCCTGAAAGGATTTCCACCTCTAAATTCCTAAAGCAACATCCAGCTATATAGTTTAGTGGGTAATGAACAATTAGGCATTTACATACTGTCTTAACATTCGTTATTTTGAACTATTATTTAAATCTTTTGTAGTGTTTACTTTTATAACCATTTATAAAGGGAAAGTTGTATTTGGGTTCTCTTTGAAGGGTATATCTTTGAAGGGAAAGTTGTATTTGGGTTCTCATTCTCGTAATTCCTTCCAACCCCAATATTTAACACAGTTCAATTTCAATGTCTTAAACACAGTGAAGGGAATTCATACAGATTGAACCTCTACTAAGTGCTAAACATCAGCAGATATTTTACATAGATTATTCAGTGTCACAAGGACCCTATAAAATACTGATGACCCTATAAAAAACTGATGAATCAGTTCAAAGAGATTGAATAACTTGTGCAAAGGCCTACAATTTTTAAAAAAGATTTATTTATTTATGTATACAAGAACTGGGATAAAGGCCAGAGGTGCAGGGTGAGAGGATTCACCAGAGAGAGTGGGAAGCAGAACAGGCAAATCTACTGAAATACACTACTGAAGGGAGCAGCGGGAGAGT